AGTGGAACTGAAACATATTCGACAACGTCTTCATTAGATTGTGCCAAAAAAAAACTTTTTTTTTAACGGGATACCGATAATATTATTTAGGATGACAAAAGAAAGGTAACATCCAAATTTGAGCTCTTAATTTTAATATTAAAAGGTCTATCATCGCGAATTTATGTTTTTGTTTTACTCCAAACGCATCTTTTACTCAAATCTTCTAAAAAATATATCTGAAAAAATAACCGATACATGTTTTTAAACGAAATTAACTATTTATAAAAAAGGACTGATTGCAAATTTTAAAGGAAATTACACGCTCTACAAAAAAGGTCCCATAACATTTTTCAAATTCACTCTTTCAAAAGTTATTCAAAGAGTTCAAATTGGAGTAAAAATTAATTTATCGTTTTCTTTGTTTTACAATACGTATTATTTTTTCTTGGTTAATAAATTTGAGGCTTTATATTAAAAATACCAGTTTTCATCTAAGTTCAACGCAAGATTACGTGTAAATTGAATTTCCCTCAAATACATGTGTTTACATTACATACATATTTTTTAGATATATTGTATAGAAGTAAGATGCGTTTGGAGTAAAAAAAAACAAAGTCTTTTTTGGCCCAGTCTGGTCTATATATAATAATATCGAATTATAGACATGTAACTACATGGAACAATAAGTTCATGGTGGTCAGTCGAAACAGTCAAAGTGGCTCTCGTCAGCACACCACAAATAGTTCCGATATAATGTAGATAAACTCTGCCTGCTGCCTTGAGACTTTGTTGAATTCTGCCAAAGGTTTTAAGGCGTGCTGACGAGTTCCAACGAGACTGTCAGCTGGGAATTAAATTACTTATTGACACCATTAAGATCCGATCCACTAAACAATTACCAACACATTCAGAATTTATGTATTTTTATTTGGTCATTTATTTCATATACAACAATGGCCACTTTTGAAATGTAACGTCGACATGAATTTTTTAGTTTTCAATTGAAAATTTTGTGTGCGCCCCTGCTAATAACTGATAAAGAGATAATGGTATTGTGGTTACCGTCGTTTTAACGCAAACTACAGCGAATGAGAGTAGGAAATAGGAAGAAAATGAATCAGATAAATTGGAGGTAGGTAATTCCTTACATCGCATCGGCCCGTATGTCGTGGACTAGTTATTTTGCGCACAGAGATTACGGTAAAATGGAGAAACTAAACAAGGCAGATTAACGTTTACTGTTGTTTCGAATTGCTTTTTGGAACTCTATTCAACTGGTCGTAATTTGTGTTGGATGCTTTGTTGTTACGCAACGTACAACGACAACATCGTCACAGGCATTTTAATTTAACGTACGATAACGGTTGTAACAACAGATAAGTGGTGGTGTTAAATAAATAAATCTGCGATTGTTCACTGAATTAGATATTTGTTTTTGTTATCTTGCAAGTTGGTATGAATTGGGTCGAATGGGGGTAGGTAGGGTGGGTTGTAAGTATTTTGATGTGATCCGATTAGGAATATCAAAATTACTTTTAGTAGCATCAGTTGTTTTGCGTCCCTGCCTGTTTGTCAAAGATGAATTTAAAGAGAACGACTGAAATTTTGGCATTGTGATGATAGACGTTATCATTTCATTCTTTGCTGTGAATATTATTGGAACGAAAATCAGCATTGCCAGATGAATTTCGTTTTAAACCCCAGTCTTTTACAGAAATTTTCTTATATTTCAAATTGTGCAAATTTGGCATCTCATCGAATGATGTGCGAAATGATAATGACCTTAATCGGTAGATCTCCATTAGGTCAGTTAACTTAAGTATTTTTTTACTGTCCAATTTACCATAAAAAAATTACTTTGAGTTCAAAACAGTATTCTTATGAATATATCGCAATAATTACCTATTTTATTAATGAATTTTCTTACTAATTTCAGTTTTCGTTTCAATACGTTTCAATTTTTCACTCCAAAAAAAGTCTGTAGTGAGTCTAAATATAAATTGGAGATAAGCCTATAATTTTGTATGTAGCCCATTTAATTATCATTTATTTTTATGTTGTTTTTTCCAGGGTGGCAGTCAAATAATTACACAACAATATGTTTTTGTAACGTTTCGGTTTATTTAACCATCTTCAGACTTTTGGAGTGTTACTGCTTGTACACTGATATTAACTTCTTTAAGAATGTTTAAAAATAAGTTGATATCTGTTTACAACTCTAACAGCTGAAGATGGTTAAGTAAACCGAAACGTTACAAAAACATACAGTTGTCTAATTATTTGACCGCCACCCTGGAAAAAACTACATAATTTTAACATTCACGGTCAGGAATCTAACTTAAAAAATTATGATTTATTTTTACAAATTGGCCCGCATGATCATTTGGGTTGGTCACCCCTACATTAAACAATAATAATACTTTTGGAACATCTCCTTTTCTTTAAGCTAGCTTTAAATTTCCGAAGGTTAGGGCCAATCACTATTATTTGAGGTTTTAGTCGAAAAGCACCCCGATTTTGGATTATCAATTTAGAGATATAAAATATTAATAAATTAAGCATTGAACATTTAAAATAGAAAGTAGAACGTTCCTTATCGACATTTCACCACTTGTAACATGACTGACTGTAAATTATAG